ATTTCCTGTTCGAAGTCCAGAGCCACATAGCACAATTTCTCCTTGATATCACGCACGATTTCTCGCTCGGCCGTCGTGGTGAAGCTGTAACCACGCTCGGTCAAGATCTTCATCAGATAGTCNGTCAGATCACGTCCGGCCAAGTCCAGACGCAAAATGGCATGGGGCAGAGCATAACCCTCGTAGATTGGTACAGTGTGGGTCACACCATCTCCAGAATCCAACACAATACCAGTAGTACGACCGGAGGCGTACAGCGATAGCACAGCTTGGATACCGACATACATGGCTGGAGTGTTGAAGGTCTCGAACATGATCTGGGTCATCTTTTCCCGATTAGCTTTCGGGTTCAATGGGGCCTCAGTGAGCAGGACTGGGTGTTCCTCGGGGGCGACACGCAGCTCGTTGTAGAAAGTGTGATGCCAGATCTTTTCCATATCATCCCAGTTGGTCACGATACCGTGCTCAATAGGGTATTTCAAAGTGAGGATACCACGTTTGGATTGAGCTTCATCACCAACATAGCTGTCTTTTTGACCCATACCAACCATGACACCCTATAATTCATGAATGGAGGAAAAGGAAATTTGAGTAGAAAAAGAACGAATATACTTGGTGATCAAGTGAGCAACAATGACAGCATTTTGGCTTAACCCATCAAACTTAATTACAGGGACACAGAAGGCAACCAAAACCCCATGTTTTTCAAATGTCCAGTCTAGCAATTTCGAACTAGTACAATAGCCGTCTTTTGCCTACATAAAAAGATTCGACGCCGCTCTTCTAACACACTAGCCGACACAGATGGTGATTCGGCTACTTGTAGTTCATCTGATCGCCTCTCTCTCTCTATGACATCCATCTAATTACAATCGCACAGTAGCAGATTTCAGGTCATTACGTAGTGAGCACTACTGACATGATTTGTAGATCATCTGTTTCACAATGAAGTGTTTGCCTACTGCAGTTGAGCTTTCGGAAGCGTGTGCTTCCAGATACGTCATACCTTTCCGACAAATTTGTTTCGTTAATTACGAAAGAATCTGTTTACGCAGATGGAATCCTCCCCCTCATGGAGCAATATTCACAGGGAGCAGTTCAATTCACAAACTATCGCGACACATTACGAGGTCAATCGTTTCAACAAATATTCACGGAACTTATTCATTGCTTGAGTCCCTCACACGCTACCGGATTCCACATAACAAGGTCTCCTAATTTGGTGATGACTTGATAAATAAATGAGAGCAAAAAACTGTTTACATTTTACTTGATATCTCCGAAATTGTATCCATAAGGTCAGAATTCTGGAAGTGACCTTGTCCTAGCGCGCATTGTGAATCATTCGTTCAGCACTTAATCCGAAATACTGTCTCATCCGGTCCAGTTGACTAATAAAACCACAGAGCTGTATATGAAGAACTTCAATACACGACCAATTAGTCAATATCTTATTAGATAAGTCTGATGCAGATTGCTGGTTCCCACTACCAAGTCGTAGGTCATGATAATCATGCTATATTCACCTTCGTTGACTATTGATGCTTAACTGGGTATGAAAAATGAGTTTATCGGTTAATCACTTTCGTGTGTTTACGTTTTTGGTCACAACAGTTCATACCTAATCAATTGAACTACAGATTTACATGACCGGTAGATACATGTTGCTAAAACTATGGTATTTATTATCACAAGTTCATACAATCTTACAGACGGGAGAATAAAATAATCGCGATAATCTTGTGTAAGAGAGAAAGAGAGAGCAAACACTGATGACGCTAACCTGATGACGTGGGCGACCGACAATGGACGGGAACACAGCACGGGGCGCATCATCTCCGGCGAAACCGGCTTTGCACATGCCCGAACCATTGTCCACAACGAGAGCCTGAACTTCGTCGTCTGCCATGATAGATCAGAACACGAAAATTGTCGAAATCCGTAAGATACGACGCACGGGAAACCCAGTCCAACAGCACTGATCGGTCTATGGGGTTTTCAGGCTCTTTTATATCCAACCCCATGGTGTACACATACATGACCATATTTGGTCAGTTCACAAGGTCAGTACTATGTGCCGATGGTGTTCGTGTGTTTCGATGGGAATAATGTACGAGAGGAGGATAGGAATGTGCCGATTCCCAATGGGTCAGGGCACAACGCATCTCTCTTTCTCTCTCTCTGTGCCAGTTAAGTCATTCTGATTGGACAACGTTTTCTGTCCACCTCTGCTTGCCCCAGTCTGAAGTGTCCGAGTATCAAGCTAAACAGGGAATCAAGAGAAAGAAGATTTGTGTACCAATGGGTCTGGTGCCTACCGGTGGGTGCGCTCGTGCAACCGCGCACACACACACACACACACACACACACACACACACCACGCACCATGTGTGTGTGTGTGGTGCGCATGGAAGGAAAAGGTAGTTCGGACAGCAAACCGTACCACACTCAGTGTGAAGTGCACATCGATCGATCAAACCGGTACGCCCCAGTTTTTACGTGAACTTTGCGAACCATGTGAAAGAGACAGCATCACTGTTGTTATTGTTGTTTGTTATTGATGCCTCTCTGGTTGACGCAGACCCCACGTTTTTCGTTGTGACGTTTGTACCGGGTCTATGGGATCGCGTATCCCCTAGTTTGCTCCCACTCAGGAACCAGTACACTAACATGCTGATGTTGCAAGGATCCCTCAAACACTTGTACAATAATCCAAATCCCAATAGAGAAAGATAAGGGAAGTGATATCGTGCAACAATTTGTTACACGGGTCGCTTTTGGTGATTTATCTGGGAGTTGGAATTTCATCGATAGTTGATACTCGGGGTGAAGTAGTGTGCGGTGATTTAGATGAGGTCTATTTTTTTCCGGGATGAAAATGGCAAGTCAATATCATCTCTCTGTCTGAAATCCACTTGATACCGTCACAAATCACTCTTGTATGCATCTGGAATCTGACAAAAGTGTGATTCCTATGGAGAGAAGGGGGGTATTTCCAATCTAAATTGACTGCCCCTATTGAGATGCCAAGAGGCGACAAATAATCGAGACGATTTATAATATTATAATACGTCTGAACAGTACGATTTATAGTTATGCTAATTCATCACAATATACATTATTAATTGGGGAAAATTAATTATCTTGGAGAAGAGAAAACGCATTAGATTTATGGATTACTAGGATTAATCTCATCTTGAGACTGTCTTGTGTCACACCTATGCAAACCAGTAAGTACCTAGTAAATCAATTCGTTCGTTTATTTACAATGTGTACACACAAACGAAGCCGATCTGCAGACCGATGAGCAAACAGGGCGCCAAGACTCAATGGGTCGACGAAAACAGAAGGTATATGTAAGTTTAGGTGTTATTTGAAATCAGCGTGCCGGCTAGACAAGTTGCCAACGCATCATCGAGCGCGGACAGTTCAGTACGGATTTCTGATTCGCTGAGATGAATTGACCTTGTCCGAGAGTAGGTTCACCTGACGTTCATGCGTACGCGTGTTTGACAGTAGGCAACATCAATCAATCAATTCGGTCACAGGCCTGCATGACACGTATCGACGGAGACCGGATGCGAGATTCACAATGGTCACAGGTTTTTGTTCACTCATCTGATCATCGAAATGGCTCATGGATGTATGATGGGTCAGGAGAGCTTAAGCGTTTGCACATAGAGGGACTCCTGCAAACAGGCTACCACCGCTTCTGTTGGGGCTAGCTTCGGACATAAACTTGCTTTTGTAGCATAGCGTACATAAGCCGTACGATCAAGCGATTACCCGTCACCTGATTTCCATTCTCCTGCGACTATCACAACAGAGCGCGTTTTAAACGAGTTGAGTACTATCAACAGCAAAACATCCTCCGGTCCGGATGGGTTATCCCCAGTGGTCCTAAAAACATGTGCAAACCACCTCACACAACCCGTTTCATTTATCTTTAATGCATGTCTGTCAGATGATAGACACATGACGTGATGTGCGCAGCACTCCAGCGCCTAAGAAAGAAAAGGGTAAGTTTCGGTCGATTCCTTCTTCAACTTCAGTATTACTTAATACTTTTGAGCGTATTAATATTATTATTATTATTAAGCATATATACTCTCCTTTTGAATTTTGTGATTCCCTATCAGTTTACTTATTGTAAGCGCTGCTTCACTATAGATGCGATTGCTTGTCTTACACATTCTGTTTTATTCCTTATAGACCAATAACATAAAATTGTTCGTTTTTTTGGACTTCACAAACGCTATTAATTCTGTTGACATTGTTACATCAACTTAAACTCCCTCCACATCTTTTGAATTGGATGTATGACTATTTGATCGACCGACGCCAATACATTAGTCTTAAGAGTAGTAGATCTCCCATTGTCACTAAAAACCAGTGTTTTTTAAAATCTCATCTCTTTTTATTTCCTTTTATTGAATATACAACACACACAAAGGGGAAATTAGCCACAAGTTCCATTTCTGAATGGTCCGATTGTGTTAACTTTTCTTTAATCCCAAACAAATGCATTAAATTTCATGAAAGCAAGAAGAAGTATCATGAACACGTATTGAATACAACCACTTCGTGGTATTCTCATCAACTGTGTGCACATACATTCGGATCACGTTTGGTTAAAAGAGTGACAGGTGTGGGGATAGACGAACACACACAGGGGAAGAGAAATCAATCGATACGAAGGTCAAAGGTCATTAATATGAACCGGATTGGCCATTGGGACAGGGAGTGGAATCAATGCAGGGTGGTGGGAGAGGAGAGGGAGGAGGACAGTGACAACTGCCAGCGGGCAGCGCGAGGCTAACCGCCAATTCGTTCTGTTTACACATATCGGGCTTGTAACGTCGAATAGCAGCCGCTTCAGCGAACCCTAATAGACGGCTATCTTTCGCGTAGATGAAGACACAAAAGGCATCCCTAGGTTTGTCACATTCTTTGCAATCCAGTATTTGTCTGTCGACTGAACTGGACGGAAGCTTGGACCCGTTAGACACCAAATTTTTCGGTGCATGCTCTGCTATCCTGGTAAACAATCGTCTCTCAGTTCTTCCGACGTACTTGATACCGCAAGTACACTGAAATAAATAAACACAGAAGGAGGTAACTGACGAGTCGGGTTTGTCTAGATCGGATTCAGTGAGCATTCGCTTCGTGTCGTGCAGTATTATGAAGTAGGCGGTGTTATACGTTCTCTCAATCGCTTGTTTCAATCTGTGCTGTATCCGCCTATCATTGTGATCACCTTGAAACGGTATGGTGACAAAAACAGCTTTTTTTTGAGGCGGTGTCACTTTGTTTTAGTTTGTTCAATGGCGCCCCATTCTTTGAAATAAACTTTTTCGGGTATCCATTTTCGTGCATTGCCGTGGATATGCATCGAACATCGGACTTTAATGTTTCACTGGATTATCAGATTATACTGAATCTAGAGAATAAACTGTGCATCAGTAATCTTTTGTATCGTATTGGACGTAGACTTCTGAAATTACTATACTGTCCCGTCCATGTCGGTTTGTGAAATACGTATCTGATGTGAGATCCGTTCCCTTTTCTCGTCAATTTGACATCCAGGAAATGGAAGGAAGATTCGGATTCGTGCTCCACCGTAAATTTAATATTCGGCTGTGAACGGTTGAGATTTCTAAGTGTTACTTGTGCTTGTCTGCTGTCATTCAGTATGACAAATGTATTAGTGTGTGCTCTTTATGCATTGCCGCAGTTTTGTATTCTCCAGATTTCCAATAAAGATATCGGCCAGGACCGGTCCTACCCATTGCAATTCCTTCAACTTGACGATAATAATCTCGGTTAAAACAGAACTGTACATCTTTAGTACATAGAAGCAATAATTTTCGGAGACTATGCGTAGGAATATTGAGTTCGTCGGCATATGAACCGACCACGTCCACAGTTTCACAAAGAGGAACATTAGTGATTAAGGAACAATATTATACGAAACCATGTGTTTGTGAGAAACGCGGATTTTTACAACAAGTTCAAGCGAATTTTTTAGAGTGCAGTTCAAAAACTTTTCTTTGATTGATTGAATGAGTTTGGCTAATCATCGTGCTAATTTTTGGTGGGATGCTCCAATCATAGATATTATAGGCCGTAGTGGGATATTATCCTTGTGTACTTTAGAGAGTCCATACATACGAGGTAGCCGAGAGCCTCGGGGATGAGCTGAGGAAGTGTGGCATCCTTATGCAATTGGCATAATTCACGCACCCACATTTGCTGTTCGGTCACGTCCAGAGAGGTCAGGAACAAATCTGCTTCTATCCGTAATCACTTCTTGCATTTTTCGAATAAAATCCTGTTTATTCATGATGATAGCTTCAGATCCTTTTTCGGGCCTTAAAAACAACATTATCATCGTTCTTTCTAAGTTCTTCGAATGCTTTCCAATGACCTGCTGACATGATACTCGTCAGTCCCGGATCGGCAACACACACTTGCTTGGCTAGATCTACTGTTTTAGCTTCGAACCAACTAAGTGTATCACATGAACTTGGTACTAGGTCTGAAAGTTCATTGAGCATGTTTTCAAATTTTGTTCCGATGTTTATGCGATTAACTCTAGGTGTGTGGCACAGAAAACCTGAAACCAAGTGAAAGGGCCTCAAGTTGTAATTGACTGAATGTTATATTCGATAGATTCATCACATACCTTTCCGGACTCGAGGGGAAATTGTCATGTTCGCATGCAGACACCAGCGATTTTTGGAGTTATTTTTCGGTTCTCCAACTGGTATTGTTTTCTAAATGTCGGATTAAGTTGAACAATTTTATTTTATTTTAATTTTAATTTTTCATTAACCTCATTGGATAATCTTTCTTCCAAATCTATCACTGACTACCGTCACGTTTGATGACGACAGAGTGAAATCAAAG